AGATTGTCTGTTATTTCATCCATTAGCACATTAAACATGAAAGGGCTGAGTGAGTCTCCCTATCTAATTCCTGTGTTTGTGTATACGGCTTCCGTTGCAATGTGTCCTACTCTAATTTTTGTTCTGCAATGGGTGTTTACGTTGTGTATTACATTAAGCAGTTTGTGGCTTAGCCCTTTTGTTCTCTTTAATTCCAGGGAATCTTTAAAGCGCACTCTGTCAAAAGTTTTAGTCATATCTATGATACGCCGATTTATTGAATTTCAGGGATTCTTTTGATATTTGCTTGACCTTGAATATTACATCTATTGTGGATCTGTTTTTTCGGAAGTCCTGTTCTTCTCTTATTCTTGTGATTTTGGTGATTTTCCCCCAGAATAGCCCTTGTGAATGCGTTAAGAGAGTTATCAAGTAGGGTTATTCCACGACAGTTTTCTGGGAGTGCATTCCGTCCCTTTTTAAAAATGGTTATTGTTATGCTGTTCTTCTATTCGCTTGGTATTTGATGTTCTTCTATGATATTTTTAAATCGGGTCACTATCTTATTTCGTATTTTTTTTACCAAAGGGTTAAGTTTGATAATGTCTCTTTTACTAAAAAACAAATGTTTATTTCCAAATTTCCATTCAAAAATTAAAGAAAACTGTTCAGTATTAAGTCGACTAGCAATTTTGTTAGGGTTTGCCCTATCTAAGATCAATGAGGATCCGTGAAAAATAATATATACTGAACAAAATTAGAAATTTCCGAAAATGGTATACAGGGTGGGCTACTGAAAATTAAACAAGAAAGGTTGCAGTATTCTTCAGAAAAGTAAAAAATAAACGCTTAGACTCTTTGGAGTCAGAAAGTTATTCTCAATTCTCTCAAATAGGACGCAATTGTGCAACTTTTAGAAACGCACTAAATTTTCTGTACCTACATTATCGGTTTTCAAACTTAATAAATAATATGATATAATTTTAAAACCTAAAGGAGTATTAAAAGTCTTCAATCAATTCCTCAGGTAAATTGGCATGCTTTTCTTATTCAATTTCTCCTCGAGAAAATAAAAATGTAGGTAAATCCGGTCATATTTTAGGTGTAGGTCATCCTATTCTACTATTGTTGAAAAAATTATTTTCTGATAATGCAATGTTACAAGTTTTAAAATTGACTAGCATTTCATGGGTTTCAGACTCAAGAGCAAAGAAATCGCTGTACTAAATAGATCAATATTAAAATTTGTGATGGGCACTAAATGAATGAACTGAAATGAATAAGTACTAAATGAATGATTGCAACTATCGAATATAAACATTCAAATGAATTAATTCATTGAATAGTGCGCGCTATCTAGTGCAGTGTAGGAGAGTTACAAATTACAAACTTATATTATTTTCAAAATACAGCTTTCTGGTTAAGCCGGCGCTACACGATGCGTCGAACATTGGCTCGAACGTTGGACCGAGCATTTGAGTCAAAAAGTTCGACAGTTTGTGTGGCAAATATATCTGCTACACGGTGTGTCGAATGCTTGAAGCAAAATTCATTTTGAAGTGTGATTCAAACGTTTGTCTACATTCGTCAATATGTTGGATACTGCTGATGCTGCAGTTATAGCCGCAGCGGTAGTAGTTTTTATATTTGTGAATGGTTTTCTCAA